TTGTCCGGTTCATTTTGCTCATAACAAGTTCTGTGGCTGAGTCAATAAGGTAAATTAACATTAATGGTGCTTTATTTAAATGAAAACAATGATGTGAGTATAAATCCATTAACATCACTACTAGTAAGACCAAAATAAAACAAGATTTGAAAAGCAATTTGAATTAAAATGCTGTGGAAATAAGAGATTATAATACTTATTAACCATTTGATGGTGATGACTTTGTACTCCAACTTGATTTTTTAATCTCATGGAACCAAATTTTGCCCTTACCAGTATTCAGCACTTTTGGGTTGCAGCCATATCTGTAGTAATGCATTCCACTTTGCTCTAATATGTCTGGAATTCTCAAAGCCATCACCATGGGAAGGATGACTTTCACACATTTAATTAGCATACAATCTTTTGTCGTATCTATCTGCATTTCCAGGGTTTAGCCATACCACAGGATCTTGTCTGATTTCCCAAGAAAGTCAAAGGGAACACCAGCTAAAGCCAAAAGATACGCAGTCAGTATATACAGCTGCTTCACTTGTGTTGTCCAAAAAAAATAGCTCTTTCCCCAATTAACAAACAGCACAATCATTTGCATTCCAAGCTTTCACCAGAAATGTTAGCCTTGAACTGATATCTTTCCAGCTGATATTGAAAGTTCAGCTTAAAGCTCCTGGCAGTGGTCCTTCAAGCCAGAATGACAAGAGAAAGGTAGGGTACCTGTCCTCAAATCCTTCTATAGTCACATTAAATATCTAAAACATACCTGCCTGACCATATTTGCTGAGGGTTCCCATCTGTGAATGGCATCAAATGCTATAATGCCCATAGCATTGATGTAGTGTCAGATACAATGGTTTTGATGAAATAAAAAAAATATTTGTGTCATTTGGTAAACTGGATGTTGAAGACAATATTCACTGTACTTCACTTCGCTTTCCTTCTAAAGCATTCATGCATTGAAATTGTTTTCTAATTTTATAGTGGGTAGGAAAACATTTTTCAAAACTTGGGGTGCTTCATTTTATCAATTAATAAATAGTATGTATTCCACTAAAGAATTTCCTACACTTTTTTCTTTATTTCTAAATCACTTCTAGAAAATTGAGATATAATTTACATAACTCTCCTACCTTTGAATGTAAAATTTTAACCTGTGCTTCTTGCTGGATAATTATAGGTCTCCTTTCTTCTGCTTTCTGTAGTGCTTTTGGTCTTCTATTCTTATTTCATGGTCTGACTGCAACTTGGATTTAAATCTCCTCAAACAGACTTTGGAAATAGGCAGCTTGATATATAACCAATAGTTTGTGCATTATAGCTTGTTCTTTTTCTGCCTATGGGGCTAAAAGTTTAATAATATCTATAAGAAAAATGACATGAAAGCTGAGAGATTATGTTTGTAACTCCTAGCTCTGTGATATAGATTAAAAACATGTAGAATTCAGACTGGGGAGATCTGAACAGGTACATGCAAAAAAAAAAGAAACTAGACCATCATTTTACACTATAAACCAGAATAAACTCAAGATGGATAAAAGACTTAAATATAAGTCATGACATCATGAAAATCCTAGGAAAAACAGGAGCAGTAAAGTTTCGGATATCCCATGCAGCAATATTATCAATGATATATCTCCAAGGGCCAGGAAATAAAGCAAAGAATAATCAAATGGGACTACATCAAAGTAAACAACTTCTGCATTGCTGAAGAAAAAATCAGCAGAATGAAAAGGGAGCCAACAACATGGGAAAATGTATTTTCCAATGATACCTTGGACAAGGGTTTAATCTCCAAAATGTATAAAAAACTCATGTGACTCAATGCCAGGAAGACAAACAATCCAATTAAAAAATGGGCAAAGGATAATGACTTTTAGAATGGGCACTTCTCCAAGGAGGACATACGGAGGCCCATTGACTTATGAAAGGATAGTCAACATCACTAGCCAACAGAGAGATTCACATTAAGCCCACAATGAGATGCCACTTCACACGGATCAGAATGGCCATCATTAACAAATTAACAAACAACAAGTGTGGTAAAGTTGTAGAGAAAAGGGAACCCTATTGTACAGCTGGCAGAAATGCAGAGTGGTATAGTCACTGTGGAAAACACTACAGAACTTCCTTAAAAAACTAAAAATGGAACTGCCTTTTTATCCAGTGATTCCACTGCTCTTACTGTATCCTAATAATCCTGAAACACCAATTCAAAAGAACCTCTGCACCTCAATAATCATAGCAGCATTATTTACAATAGCCAAGTGCTGGAACAGCCAAAGTGGCCACCATTAAGTAGGTGGGTCAAAAAGAGTGGTGCATATACACAATGGAGTACTATGCAGCAGAAAGAAAGAAGGAACTTCTACCATTCATGATAATAAGTCAGGTGAAGAAAGACTAATACCATATGATCTCACCTATAAGTGAAACCTAGTGAACAACACAAACAAACAAGCAAAATAGAACCAGAAGCAAGAGAACAAGGAACAGACTGACAGTAACCAGAGGGAAAGTTGAGGAAGATAACAAGGGAAAGAAGGGGAAGGGAGTAGTCAAGGAACTGTATAAAGGACCCATGGACATGGACAATAGGGTTTGGGGATTGACTGTGGAAGCAGGGGGTGGGCAGGGTAGAGGAGAGCAATGGGGGATAATTGGAAAAACTAATAGAAAAAAAGGTAAAAACACTAGTAATAAGCCCCATGTTACTGGATTATAATTGAAGGTATTGTTGTAAACTCATTCTGTATTTATAGAAATAAACATAGATTTAAATGTGAAAAATAATAAAAAGGTTTTGCATAAAAGAAAAAAACAAACAATGTGGCAGATATTAGGTGAGGCTTTTTTCCCCCAGAATTATCCCTCACAAAGCAGGGGCTGCCTTGTATTTCAGTTCTTGTGTAAACTCTCATAGTGAAAGATGCTCTCCCTATACACTGCTTTGATCAAAAAAAATAAGACACAAAATGTCAAAGTAAAATAAATTATTTCAATTTATTGTAAAATCTCAGTTAATACTAACTTTAGAGCTAGCACTGATACTAGACAATAAAGACATTTAAAATGGATTAATCCTAAAACAACTTCTTTCTAGATTCCAATTCTCACTGATAGAGCAATGAATTGCTACAGAATGTAAATTCCTTTTTTTTTTTTTACTTATTACTTTTACAGTTTCCAAGGCATTTACTATACGTGCTATGCTGCTTATCAGAGACTCCTCTTTGGTTTGGTATTTCTTCAGCTGTCTCATCACGAGGGTAAAGGCAGTGCTGAGTTATGCAATTTAATCAGTAACACCATTTAAGTACAACTGATTTAGTTCTTTTACCAGCAACAGTATTTTTAGCAAACTTGGTGCCAGTTTAGAAACAAAATTGAATGGAATGGTGTCAAAATATTTTGTCATTTTATAGAAATACCCTAAGAATTATAATTAAAGTATTTAATAAATTTACATTTAACATGACTTACTTGATCTTTTTGGGAGGAGAGAGGGGTGGCATATTTAGAAGCAGAAGCATTGTTTTCACACAAGAGTAGTAATTTAAAATATGAACTATTACTAATTAAGTAGTCAATTAAAGAGTCCATTTAGGTGGTCAGACTATGGCCCTGCCTGCTGTGGCTCAGTGGATTCAGCACTGGACTGTGAACCAAAAGGTCATGGTTCAATTCCCAGTTGGGGCACATGCCTGGGTTGTAGGCCAGGTTCTCCAGTGTGGGGTGCACAAGAAACAACTACGCATTGATGTTTCTCTTCCTCTCTTTCTTCCTCCATTCCCTCTCTAAAAATAAACAAATAAAATCCAAAAAAGTTCACGGGAAAATATTCAGAACATAACTTAATATTTCCAATATCACATAATGGTCCAGACCATTCACTTTGGAATAGATAAGTCTCTTGAATCCTAAACTTTGCCATAGTAACTTCTCCTGCATGAGGCAATTAACCAAAATACTCTAAGCCTCAGTTTTCTTATCTATGAAATGCACATAAGAGGATCCATGCACAGGGCCACTGAGGAGTTAGATAAGGCAATAAAACTATTTAATGTGGTGTCTGGCCTTCTGTAAATAGTAGCTAATATCATTCTCTTTAATGTAATGGTCAGGGCTATTGTTAAAATTATTCCACAAGACAAAATATATGTATTTTATAAGCAATAACTCTTACATGAATTAAGAGAGGAAACAACTCATGAATCCAAGACCTTCTGTGTCTATGGCATCCACAGGTAAAAGAACATGGGGCCCAATCAAGCCAGAATCTGATCTACTAGATGACAAACCTTTTGAGTGCTGGGAAAACATATTTTTCATTTTTTATCTCCAGCATTCAGCACAGAAACTGTCTTCTATAAGTGTTTGCTGAGACAATAAATGAACAAAAGAGGATATAAAACCATGCAGACATTTTCTTAGATTTTGGAGCTGAAATGATTTATTAGGCTAATTCCATTAAACTAGTCCATCTCTACAGGCAGTATAACAAGACTAGTCATAGCATAAACTGTGATATTCTTTACTCATTAACTATAAGAATTAAGTTTTTGCATGGCTATTGGACATGAGATAAAAAACCCATAATGTATCAAATTATTGAGAGAACAACGTACTATGTTTTAGCTCCAAATATCATGAATAAAAGTGTCTATCAATTAAAATACCATCTATAAGAAAAGCATCTTAAACTCATAATTTATACCATGATATACAGGCATAGTACTCAACATATAAATTTTAATTTATAGTATGAGTGTACCTTTTTTGTGTATGTGTATTCTAAGAATAGCATTTCAATCAGCTGACATGCGGAGAAGAAAATAAACCATTTACAAAGTAGTGTTGTATCCATATACAGTGACCAGTAGCTGCAAAATTTCTGTTTATATGTTGAGGCTGAGAATGTGGCATTCAAATTAGTGCTATTTAGATAAATTATTCTTATCTAAATAGTAGCTACCAGTTTTTCAAACATAGAAGAAATTACTTACCAGACGGAATTACTATGAGCTTTGTCCCTTCAGCAAATATCTTGATTATGCCTGAGTGATCACACTGGTTACAACTACTTCAAAAATCTCACCATTCTCCTAAGGTTCATGACATAATCAGAATTGAAAAAAATGGCCATTTGGTCTTCTGGGTTCTTGTGGAAGTCTTTAAATATAGTTTTTGTGGCATCTGATGGCTTATAAGTTTTCCTCGGATAAATTGACCCAGATGTCAGTTCTTTATCAAGGCAGTAATTATTGAAAAGGACTGATAGAAAATGAAAGAAGAGCAGGAAAAGAAGAGATCAAGCTAAATTGGTCAACCAACTACTTTTCCCAATTACCAGGAAATGTATTCAGAGAATACATTCAAGAATTTTTGCTTCCAGGTGTTCAATTGTGAAACTGCTGGGAGATGGCATCAAAGGGAAGGCCCTTCCTTCTGTTCTCAGAAACACCAGGGCTGCTCCTCCAGTGGTTTTGGATTATTTCTGAAAAGAGGAAACTCTGCAGCAACTGCAAATGCAAGTCTGCCAACACAGATATATTTCATAAATGTGAACAAAACTCCATTTTTAATAAAGCCACTTTTCTCATTTGACAATGTGATTGATTACCAGGCAATGCAAAATGAGACAATCATTTCTTTATGGCATTACTTTCCCTGGAATAAAAGAGAATATTTGTGGGATTTTATCTCCTGTAAAATAACAGATTTTTTTGAGGTGGACTGCCCAATTACAATTTTTATTTCTGCTTATTTTTATTGCATCTCTTTCAGGGAAGAGCAGTTTTAATGAATTTAAACTGAAATTTAAAAACAAAACCCAGTTCTACAATTTGTTGAAAGGAGAATTCCCTTGAAAGTTGTTCTGCAATCTCATGCCTCTTATCTATAGTCAGGGAACAAAAGTTGTCAGAAACAGTGGAGTGTTCCTACAGGTACACATGGGTTGTCCCTCTACCTCCCCAGAGAGGATAGGCCCTGATGACTCCCAAGTGCACCTCAGATTCAGGTCTGGACCTGGTCCCATGAGCAAACTTAGTCTCTGTTCCTGAAAATGAAGCTGTGGCATGGTCATGGTAGGAAACTGTCCACTCACAACAGATCACAGCACCAAACACTATGGGAAAGGATGTGGGGGTGGGATGAAAATTATTTTTAAAGTTTTTTTTTGTTCATTGAGCATTTCAAGTTATTATTTCCTAGAGCTATCAAATACCTTTTGCACTTATTGTAGTTGTAAATAGTACCCATTGAGTTCCTTTCTGATAACTTGTCCTCTTTTTGTTCTTATTCCAAGACTCTGAGCAGAATTATCTGAAGCTTTAAAAGTTGTTTATATTTGGACTTTGGGCCACAATGGAGGTGTAGGTAGACACACTATGCCTCCTCGCATGACCAAAAGAAGGACAACAAATTTAAAAACAAAAAACAACTAGAACTGACAGAAAATTAAACTGTATAGAAGTCCGACAATCAAGGAGTTAAAGAAGAAACATTCATCCAGACTGGTAGGAGGGGTGGATACAAGCAGCCAGGGGAGAGAACTCATAGCAATGTGGCAGCTGAAGGATCAGGGTGGACAAGGTGGCTGGCAGACCTAGTGAGGTGGCAGCTGGTGGGCAGGGTGGTCCCACATTGGCATGCAGATAAACTGGGAGGAACAACTGGAAGTGAAACAGATAACACAACCCAGGGTTCCAGCATGGGGAAATAAAGCCTTAAAACCTTTTACTGAAAAAACCTGTTAGAGTTGAGGTGACAGGAGAAACTCCTAGCCTCACCAGAGAGTTTGTTGTAGAGATCCACAGGATTCTAGAAGGTACCACCTGGCAATCAGCACCAGAAAAGCCCAATTTGATTGTGGGTAGTGAGGAAAGTGACTGAAAGCCAGTAGAGAGTAGAGCAAGTGGCACTATTCCCTTTTGGACCTCTCCCCACCTCCCTCACAGAACCACAAGGGAGCAGCGTGGGTTTGCCCATCCTGGCAAATACCTAAGGCTCTACCTTTACAACATAACAGGTGCACTGGGACAAAAATAAAATGTCCTAAATGAAAGAATAGATCAGTGCCTTTGATTGCTCAGCTGGTAGAGAAGAGGACTGTAGGCTACGTCTGCATGAAAAGAACAGAGAAGAGCCCCAGCAAAAAATACAACTAAGCAATGAAAAGATGGCCGCCTTATCAGATGCACAGTTCAAAACACTGGTACTCAGGATGCTTACAGAATTGGTTGAATATGGTCACAAATTAGAGGAAAAAATGAAGTTGGACCCAAGGAAGCACACACTAAGGCACACCATATTTACATTACCCAAGATTAAAGAAAAGGATGAAACCTTAAAAGCAGCAAGAGAAAAGGAAAGCAGACTGGTACAACCATTATGGAAAACAGTATGGATTTTTCTCAGAAAAATAAAAATCGACCTGCCTTTTGACCCAGCAATTCCACTGCTAGGATTATATCCTAAGAATCCTAAAACATCAATATCAAAGAACCTATGCACCACAATGTTCATAGCAGCACAATTTACAATAGCCAAGAGTTGGAAGCAACCTAGGTGCCCATCAGTAAATGAATGGATCCAAAAATTGTGGTACATATACACAATGGAATTCTATGCTGCAGAGAGAAAGAAGGAGCTACTACCCTTTGCAACAACATGGATGGAACTGGAAAGCATTATGCTGAGTGAAATAGGCCAGGTGCTGAAAGACAAATACCATATGATCTCACCTTTAACAGGAAGCTAAACAACAAAACAAACAAGTAAGCAGAAAAAAAAACCCCAAAAAACAAAGACACTGAAATAGAGAACAAGGGGATAGTGACCAGAGGGGAGAAGGAAGGGAAGTTAAGGGGAAAAAGGGGGAGGGATTTGGAGGAACAAATAGGAAGGACACAGGGACGAGAACTAAGGGGGGGGAGGAAATGGGAGGGAGGTGGGGAGCAAGGGGCAGGGGAGGCTGGGATGGGAAAAATAGACAAAAAACTGTACTTGAAAAATAACTAAATAAAATTTAAAAAAAAAAAAGAGAGAAAAGGAAAGAGTTACCTACAAAGGAGTTCTCATTAGACTCTCAGTTTATTTCTCAAAGGAGACCTGGCAGGTAAGAAAGGCCTGGAAAGAAGTATTTCAAGTCATGAAAAACAAAGACCTACATCCAAGATTACTCTATCCAGCAAAGCTATCATTTAGAATGAAAGGACAGATAAAGTGCTTCTCAGATAAGGTCAAGTTCAAGGAGTTCATCATCATCAAGCCCTTATTACATGAAATGTTAAGGGGACTTATCTAAAAAAAAGAAGAATTTTCTTATCTAAGAAAATTCACATGAAAAGATATGAACAGTAAAATGACAACAAATTCACAACCGAATTTAACAACCTAATCAAAACCAAAACAAAAACAAACCAGGCAAACAACTAGAACAAAAACAAAATCACAGAAATGGAGATCACATGGAGCGTTATCAGTAGGGAAGTAAGGGGAAGAAGGGGAAAAAAGGTACAGAGAATAAGTAGCATAAATGTTAGGTAGAAAATAGACAGAGGAAGGTTAACAATAGTATAGGAATAGTAGAAGCCAAAGAACTTATATGTACAACCCATAGTTCATGAATGAACTAAAGAGGGGAAAATATGCATGGAAAGGGATATGCAGGGTAGAGGGAAATAAAGGGGGGGAGAATGGAACAACTGTAATAGCATAATCAATAAAATATATTAAAAAAATAAAGAAACTGAAGGGCTTAGTCAAAGAACATATATGAAGTACCCATGGACATGGACTGACTATGTAAGTGAGGGGACTGACTATGTAAGTGGGGAGCAGGAATGTTGGAGGTGGAAGCAAAGGAGGCAAAGTGTGCCCACTGTTATAGCATAAATAATAAAATATAAAAATAAATTAATTAAAAATTAAAAAGAAAAATAGGAGTTGTTTATATTTCATGATTCATGAAGAATTTAAGTAATAAAATGCAAGACAATAGTAGTTACAAAATAGTTTATTAAATTTATAAGAAAATACGAGAACTATATGAAGAAAAGAGTATAAGATTTGATAAGTGCCATAAAACAAAACCTGAATGAATGCTATATATACTATATTTATGAAGAAAAAGCTCAAAGTCATAAATATGTTAAGCTTTCCAAAATTCATCTATATAAATTAACTGCAATTCCAATCATAATTATGACAATATTCTTTTTTCCCATGGTGTAGGTTTGGGGGTGGGCAAGATAACTTGATTTTAAATACTATTATAGAGAGCATAAATATGAGATAATTAAAAATAATTTCTGAAAAATATTAGTGAATAGAGTTTTTGACATGGCATATCTTTTTTAAAAATTTTAATTGTTGTTCAATTATAGTTATCCCTATATTCCTCTCACACTGCTCTCCCTGACCTGCCCACCCCCTGCTCCCACATTTAATCCTCCTTCTGTTGTCCTTGTCAACAGGTCCTTTACACAGGTTCCTTGACTTGACCCTTCCCTTTCTTTCCCCTATTATCCCCCTCCTCCCTCCCCTTTGGTCATTGTCAGTTTGTTCTTTATTTCCGTGTTTCTGGTTCTATTCTTCTCACTTGTTTGTTTGGTTGATTAGGTTCCATTTATAGATGAGATCATATGGTATTTGATCTCATGATATCAGATATGTTTCTGTAAGGAACAACAGATCATTACAAAATACTGTCTTCATTGGTTTATAAAAACTCCAGGCAGTGTTCAGCAGAGGCCAAGTAATTTCACTTTCAAGCAGATTCTTCCCTTTAGCAAATTTACCAACTGTCTTCATTCTGAACTTGAATGAGCTTCTAATCTCTTAAGGCTTCTTTGCACTTTAGGTACTTCATATGCTAGTATGTGCAATTCATAATGCACCAGTAGAAAAACGTGTTTGATGAAGCACTTGTTTCTACTTTGCAAACAAGAAACATGTCTGTTTTGAATAGGTATGGATGAAAGGCATGTTTCAGTGAAAATAAAATTGTTCCTTGAGAAGGAAATGGTACCTTAGCTCCA